TTTGGCCGACCACAGAAAAATATAATACATAATAATATATTATGTACATAATATGTAGTCCAATGTTGCTTATGCGACCATATTGTCGGTGGTGTGTACATATATATATAGTCATAATATTATACATGTGTCTATATGTTCAGTTATTAATATGTTAAGATAAGACGCGTCTTGTTCCCATGAGGATGGGTGTGGCATTAGGCTAATTAGATTGTACTGTGTTCGGGTGTGGCCCACCACAAGTTGATTAAAACTTGCAAACAAGACACAGCGAAACTGAATACCAAATGCGTTCTTTCGGGTAACTTATGTAAATCGCTTTCATAAATTAGTACCTTTTTTTTTTCGAAAAAGAAAAGTCAAAAGACAACGCCCACAAAAATGACAGTTTCGTGATGGCCAGCTAATGGTTAACTATCATATACCTACAGCTTATAAAAATAACCAAATATTAGCCGTTGGTATTATGTTTTTTATTATTACTGAAACCTATTCTGTTAAACATATTAAACATCATGATTGTTTTACTATTGACAGTATATATTATATACAGGGTAATTCATTTAACACATGACACTCATTTTCTCTTTAAACAATCGCAATTTTGTTTTTTTTATTTTTGGAGACGCTTCAGTTTATGTTATTGTACGATATAATTAAACATTTTAACTTGTCGATAACCAGTTTTCAGCCACATTCCATCTCTCGTCCTAAATTTTAAACTTTTATGACTTTATAAGTAACTATCCAAAACTGGTTATCGACAAGTCAACATTTTTAGCAAATTAATCTATTATCATAACTAAATATATACATTCCCATTTAAGGTTGAAATGTTAATAAAACTCTAGAAAATACTAAAAAAGACAATTTTTTTTAAAAGAAATATTATAAAATTACAATTACTTTAGGAGAAAATTAGTGGCTTACCCTTAATGAATCACTCTGTATAATATGTATACATTTTTTTTTTTGTGATCCATGTTGTTTTCTAACGCGCTTATCCGATTTCTTTAATTAGAAAGGTCATAGATCAAAATACCTGAAAGATACTTTATAGAGCCAATAATGTAAAAAGTTCACCCCTTCAAAATCGAGCAACCTAAAAAGTTAACACAGTTTTTAACTTCAAACTACGGCGAACTATAACCTTTTTAATACTAGTAGAATTAGTTTTAAACTTATATGGATAAAGATAAGATAAAGTTCTATCAGTAAACGTCGACAATCAAAAAATATATATATATCATAACCCCTTTCCCCCAGAAGGGGTGAAAACTTGTTCTTTATTTTTCTTTTTCAAACGAAATTTTAGGATATAAGTGTGAAAATTAGTCAGAAGGTAAGTCTAGAGTATTACTATAACATACAATTTTATCAAAAATCTGAATTAAAATTTTTTTTTTTTTTAGAAAAACCACAAAAAAGAGGAAATTATACTTTGGTTGTAGTAAATTTCAGTTTGCTATGTGTGAGTAAATCAACAGGTTTTTGAAAATATTTTCATTAAATTATTAATGTAATTGTTAATTACGATATATGCGTTAATAGGTACCAACAGAGGCGCCGAACACAAGTGTCTGGTAGAGTGAATACCCAATTGATTTAATGGACGAGGTGGGTGGCTGATCTGTACTTAGTGGACGACATAGTACAATGTTATAGTATAGGGTTAAATATTAATAATATTTTTATGTTATGAGTGAATTTTTTTTCAGTAACTGGATGGAAGATATATTTTTCCTCAGATGTTAGTAAAAAATTCGGCGCCACTGGGTACCAATGGCAACAAATTTGAATAGACAGAAAATCAACCCTTACCGTATCCTAATAATTATTTAGATAGTTTTTCTTTTTAATGGGAGAGGGTATAAAGAGGAGCATAGAATTTAAACAAGTCGAACGTTTGAAAAACTAAAAAAACTATTTTTTATTAAAAAATCGCACTTTAAAATATAATATACTATTAATTATTAAATGTATTTTTTCAGACGTGCATCAAATAATATTGTTTGTAAAAAAAAACCATTGTTACTAACTATTGTAGTTTACAATGTGAGGTATTTAACGAATGACAGACAAAAATATGTTTCTATAACAAAAGAAAACGTTACAAAGTACACAGTGACTATTTGGTAATTAAACAACTTATTATTATTATTTTTTTTTTTTAAGTGAAATGTTATAACCTTGGTTCTCATTAGTTTCGCCGATGTTGTAAAATCTATCAAATATCGATTATGCGAACGGGTGAAATGGAGTATATTATTTGGTATATACATACAATACACATATTGTATTCAAATGTCTATATTATATAGGTTGTGTTTGCTCGCTGTCTGCGTATAGTAAATATCGTTGCACATATTATTATGGTACACGTAATGATGTTGTAAATATTTTAATAGAATTAATTACCAAAAAAAAAAAAAACGATAATAAGGAAAATCACATAGACGGCGTAATAGTATCGATTTGTGTACATGTGTGTGTGTGTGAGAGCAGAGAGGAAAAAGGCTGTGCGTGATAAGCCGGTCAGACAGTATTTGTAAAGGCCTCCCACGGCGATGAGAATATTACCCACACAGAAAATATTATAATATTCAGTATTCAAAATACTGTATTTTCGCCGTATAAAAAAAAAATAATATGTTATTATCACGGAAAAGACCCGTCACACGTGTTCTTTGTCCGAAACGCATAATACCGGATGGCTCTCTCCAAGATAATGTCCTTTATCTTGGCTTTGACCGATGTACCGAAAATTAAAACAATATATATGTATATAATATGACATACTTTTGTGTGTGTGTGTGTGTGTGTGCGCGATGTGCACATCATGTCTCGGTGATAATAATACATTATAATATTGATAACTTGTGATGATATTTTGCGCGTCAACGTCGGCTTGACATGATTTATAATATTTTTTTTTTCATTATTATTGCTTTCGAAATAATAATTTACTATTTGCATAGAAATAACATTACGACAACGATAACGCCTAGCGACGATAACGGAAACCAGACGACGACATTTTTCTAAAAAAAAAAAATAAAAAAAATTGTATGCAAGATAATATTATTATTATGATATAGTATCGTGTAAACACCCCGCGAGGATTGCAGGAATGTCCTTTTCTTGGGATTAATTCTTGTTTTCCTTTATTTTAGATAACGTCATAACTCAACGACTGTTGTCTGCGGTTAACCCGCCGAAGTGATCGACCGTCATAATATATCACAATTGGCGCTTAAGTTGTCAGGAAAAAACCGTATGCGTCGAAGCAAAAATAAAACCAAATAAATAGTCTGGAATCTATTTATTTCAGTCTTCAAACGAAACATGTACACTCGAGGGAAAGTGTCGATAGAAATAAGTTGGCAGAAAAAAAAGACCTAATTTATAATGTAATTTCTGGTAATTTTTGTGGAAACAAGAAAATTCGGTATAAGAGCTACAAGTCTGAAATCAATTTTTTATTGAATATTTTCAGTTTTAACTTATAAGATGCTAACAACGTGCATTATTGAAAAGTGTGAGGGGGGAGCTAACGAATTGGATGATTTGAAAAATGTTAATTTTCATTCGAAATGGTCACTGGTGAGAACAAAATAGGTAAAATTAATGATTTTCCCCAAATTCTAGTGTTGTACAAGTAGTTTACTACAACTTAGCATTGGATAGAAGTGACATAATATATAACTCATTATTTGCTTAGAAATTAACTGTAAAATATAAGTGCATAAATCATGTACTAATAAATCAAAAGGGTACGAGTGCACTAATGTATATCCTTTTGACAGGATATAAATGATACCATAATATATATACTATAATAGTTATCTTAACACAGATTTGTATCTATTTGAATTTAATTACTATTTTGTTTCTAAGAAATTAATTTAATTTTCTTATTTTATATTTATTCCAATTAATACGAAACTTATTGAAACACTAACTGATTTGTTTTTATATTATTTGAAATTCAATTTTCGTTTTTTCTTGAAAATTACAAAATACTTATAGTTATTGTTTCTCGGCACTTAATTTAATGAAAATGCAATTTTTGTAAAATGACAAATAGAAATAGTTTTCATTGGAAAATATTGTTAAAAACTTATTTTTTTATTGAAAATATGTATCATTTGTATCATTTTAGTTTCATCATTTAAATTATATGATTAAGTTAGAAACAAAATTGCATTTAAATTTGACTCATTCAGTTTGGTCAAACTAACCACAGATTAACCTATTTGTGTAATGCCATAACAAGTGACTATCAAAAAGAAAATTGTTAGAGTAAATACAATTTTTAAAAAAATAGTTCTTTGATCATGTATGAACGTTAGACAGTTTTCTTTATGGTTTAGTAAAGTATGTTTATAGTCTTGTCCAATAAAAATAATAATAATGTTATAAGAATAACGTTACTGTTTGCTCAAAGTGCAAAAGCATTGGCTCGCAGGCCGCAGCGGTTATTTCTTACAATAATAACGTTGTAATCTTATATACGTATATTAAGAATATTACCGTCATGCAACGTACGGACGTGGGCACGCGTCGATGGCATCTAATAAGACGACGCTTGTTTTCTTTTCTCGGCCGACGTGTAACGGCCTTTCTGACGCGTGCGGCGTGTCTCCTGGGCAGTGGCGGTGGCGGGTGGGCCGCAGACTCAACGGACCGCGAAGAAGATCCAGAGGAGACGGCGCTCGCCCAACAGACTTGGCCGGCCGCGGTGCCGCCAACGGCCGGAACGAAGCGGCTGCGGTGTCCGCGGGCCCGTGACGTCAACCCTATTCAGTCCGCGGTATCTTATCTTCCGGAGACCGTTAAAAAAAAAAAAAAAAAACCACCACTTGTTCCCACTCAACCCGTCCGTCCTCCACGCGAGCGCGCGTGCCGTAATTGTGACGGGACGCACGCAGACCAACATCCGTTCGTCCGTCAACGCCGTCTTCGGTGCCGATCGTACGCGCGGACCGTCCGTCCCGTCTCGGCACGTCTTCATTCCGTTATCACTCACCCCGCGAGTTACACCGACGGAGTTTGACATTGCTGCGGGTGCCTCCGAGTGTTGAAACTTTATAATATAACTCTGCGTGTGTGCTAGTGTCAGTGTCAGTGTTAGTGTGTGTGACGGGTGTTCAACGATTAGTGTTCAACATTATTGACGTGTGCGATATAAGTAAACATCAAAGGACTTTGGAAGTTTCTCACAATTTAAAACTAGGTAAGTTAATTTTTTTTTTTAACATTTTTACCGTTGTAACTGACCGATTATATTGCTACTGTTTATTTGACCGGTTCTTTAAAATGTTTGGGTTCTGATTTGTTTAGAACATAATAATATTTGTAGTCGACTAAGAAGTTTTCAGATTTTGCGTTCACCATTTACAGCAAAACTGAGTAGTTTGTGACACTTTTTTAGGTAAAATTCAAGTACAATGTACGACCTAATTAACTACTCACATCTTTATATATTAATTATTATCTTATTAATTACTCAACATTTTCCCGAAGTTGCTCAGTTTTGCTTGAAATTCCAATAAAGTGCTCCATTAAACGTGTGTCCCAATTACACCAGTTGTCCACTTACTTACTACTCACTAATTGAATAATATTTTATTTCCATTAATTTACCGTCATCAATTCGATACCGAGTATAACACTTATAATTACAGTGTTTCCTTGGCTTGTAAGCACGACCGGTCGCGTCGAACAAGTCAAACCCAAAACAACTTAAATTTGACAACATAATAAGTATATTTTTTCGCGAACGTCGAAAAGCTAGATTTGGACAAAAACAAGTACTGTAACAATTTTTTTTTTTTTTTGACAAAAATCGTTTCGGTACGGTTGGGTGCACACTCCCTCTGTGTTTGAACAGTAGAAAATATTTTCAAACACATGTGCATTGTGCTCGGTTAACCGCCGATAATATTTATATTTTTTTTGGCCGTTGCAATAATCATATTATTATGTAATACGACCTATTATTACTTAAATTACTATTAGACGGCAGACTAGGTGTAAAAACCAATTCTAACGGTGTTGTAGTCTGTGAACAAAGTTCAATTGGATGTTTATTTAGTGCCCTGTGCCGGTGTTAGGGGCGTGCACAAAGTGGCTTCCAGGCTCGAGAACGATTTTTGGTATAATATAGGACAAATAATGGTTTTTTTTATATATGAATACAAAATTTGCCTTTATAATTTATTATAATATATTTATTTATATTCAAAAGAATTAGGGTTAATTTTTTTAATAATATTTAAATTTTTTATGTACTTATCATAGTTAAGGCAAATCATACTTAGATGACTAAAAACTGAAAAATTACAATTTTGTTTTATTTAATAATACAGAGTATTTCTTTTTAGCCTCTTGTTCTTAATCTGCACAGAGCCTCGCAAATTGTAGTGCCGGCACTGGAAACTATAATAATTGATTTAGTTAAGGATACTCTCTTAAGTAATAGGTAAATATATATATATAATTTCTGGATTCACACATAATACAGGTAATATACTAAGGCGAACAAATGATAAATAGTAAAAATTCCTTGGACGTTAAACGCAAACCACGTTTGACCAGAAGTCATGAGTCAGGTTAAAGTAATAATTTTAAGGTATTTTCAATAATGTGTGGCAGGCATACAATAATGGCGTGGCCTTTTAATTTTCTATAAAAACGCGTCAATGATAGGTTAGATTAATTGTGGTGATTTTTTTTCTAACGTTACAATCATAGAAGACTTTATTTGTGTCGTTCATGTTTATGTTTTACCATTAAGCTTTTGAATAACACTAAAATTTGTTTTAACAATGGTCAAATTGAGTGATCGTGACACGTCCCAGAATTTTTGTTTATAATATTTGAATAACGCAAAACTTTAGATTTGGTTGGCGATATCATCATAATATTATATGGTCGCCCACGAACAACAGGGTTGTTGGATAGATGTAGGAAAAGGTGGTTGGAGAAGGGGACACGACAACAGCAGCTGCGTATTAGTGCACACAATACCTAATAATTAAGATAAGTGATCGAACATGTCTGATAAACACACCACTGTGTGACGCTATATACAATAATATATAATGCACAGACCTCTGCTCGCTCAGATTTTATAGCAAGTCAAAAAACATACATAGGCATTTTATTGTTTTACAAATTCTACAGAAAATTGATAATGCCTTACAAGCCTTTCCTCCTCCGCCATGTGTAAATTCATCAAATTCACTGATTGTGCAGATGTGTATAGATTGTAAATAAAATATTTTAGTTAATTAATAAGAAAAAAAAATTATTCATTTACACAAATTTTCCCTGGTACATCGAATAAGTTATCCCCATTTTTGAATAAATTTTATTATTGTAACCCCTTGAAAAAAAAAAAAAGAAAAACATGAAGCCAAAAAAGTACATTTGCACAATTTTTGCCAAGTGCATTTTTGTGTGTTTTACCCTACTACAGGGGCACAATTAGACTTTTTTAGTAAAATGCATTTTGTCTTATACAAACGTCTGTTTTTTTTTATTAAATAAATATAAACTTTCAATTTTAAAAGTTTTGATTCATAACAAAGGCCCAATTTTACGATTTTTAAAAAATTCCTTAGACCAAAATAAAATTAAAAATTAATATTTTATAAATTAAATCAACCCATTAAATGGTAATAAATTAGGCGAAGTTATAAAGTTTACGTTAAAAACGTAAATTTGGTCAAAATACAAATCTCAAGACAGTATTTCTTATCTTTTCATGCACGATCATATTTTCTTCACCATTTGCACCACATATTATTTTTTTAAATCTTTGTATAAAATACACTGTTTTAAGAAATTTTTTTTTCAAATTTTTGGCTGCGAGGAAATACGCACTCAAATTTGTTCACGTTACACTTAACTGGAATCCAATTGTTTTTATATCGAAAAACTATTCCCAGGATTATACTGTATCCGTATAGATTTCTCTGTTGGAACGAGGGAACACAATATATATATAATATATTGATAGTTGTACATATAGCACCCGGAAACGTCGTTGGTGTTTGAGGAAAGCATGACCGGAAGTGTTATTATGATACTGGCGAAGACACGACCGAGTACATAGCCGGATATCGTATTACCCGTTTATAGAACGGCTACTCGATCGTTTCAGTTGGGCGCGTGCGGCATCATAAAATGCACGGGAGACAAGAATTTGCCTACGCGGTTCCCCTGAAACAAGCAAAACGGTGCGCGACCCATATAATATTATTATAAGCCCTGATCCGTCGCATATAAATAAATACAATATGTTTATCGTGGAATCGAATGCACGCAAAGTACACGTCTATGTATACATATTAGATTATATTATTAATAAACAAAATTTGCGATTCCTGGTTTTACCGGAAGCAAACAAAATATAGCGGTGTATAAATTGCATTTGGCGGTTCCCAGATTTTCTTTGACGTTCAGTTTATTATTGGATCATGTGCACTAAACAACCGTTGTCGCTTCAGCGAAAGTCCCGACCAGAGCTGGTTCACAAATTTTTTTTCCTAGGAATTTTGTTTGTCCACATCGGTTTTGTGTATTATGCCTTTGACCACCGTATAAAGGCTGTTCGCGGAACTTGTGTTTACGGATATCATATTGTAATATTACTACTCGGTATTTGTTATCATAGCTTATGTAGTAAAATTAAGTTTAAATCGCATCAACTATATATCATTATTATTTTAATAGTGTTATTTATCATGATGATATTATATGTATTTGTGCGATGGTCAAAATAATCAATACCGCAAGCAGATGTTTTTGGCGGGGGGCTAAAAAAAAAGTTTGCCCCGGTCCTTCAACAACATGTTATTATAATATGCAACCATAGATGCAGACTTCTGGCTAAACGGCAATATACTATTTGCAAGAGCGCAATGGGTCACTGTCATACTGTTGCACAGGGTATAACATAGATTTTCTTTTACTTCTAGGTAAACCTGAGCCTTCTTAAAAAACCTGAACTAATTATAATTATTATTACATTATTTATTATTCCTGAGTGCCGCAAAATTTGTTCTGGACTTAAGCGGCGGCCGTCCGGCGTTCTTCGGATAGCGGCAAACGGACGCGCCCCGGCCGGTCCGAGCGGTCAGCCGCCGAAGGGACGCCGGCAGTTCTGTGCGAGCCGCGGCCGCGGGCGACCGACAGATGGCGGCAGCCGCACCGGTTCCCTTGCGCGTCGTTCTTCTCGGGGCGGTTTTTTCTGCAGCGCGCCTGCCCGAAAAGCTGCGGCGGGTAAAGCCCTCCGCGCGTCTTGTCGCCGGGCGCCCAAGTCGCGGACACTGCCAACGGCGTAAGTCTTAAGTGCCGTCGCGGCCAGTCACTCACTCGGTCCGCGAACGTAATGCCGGCACATCGTCGTCTTCTCGTTCCGTCGCTCGCGTGATCCCGCCAAACACGTTTTGCGTCCACGACAATAATAATATTATCATCCCCGTTGTGTGTTGGTCATCGCCGACGAACTTGTTCATTATTGCCTGCAAACAAACAGTAAGTGAAAATATTTTATATTAAATAAATTGACTTCTTTTTTTTTTTTAACGACTTCAATCGAATATCACGCGGACTCGGCCAGCCGGTACTCTTTTTATTTTTAAACTTAAAACGATAACAGGTTTTTTTTTTTTTACAAGTGAATAAAATTATACCTATTTTTTTAAATTAACAAAAAGTGTTCAGCTTTGGGTCGCACTAAACAGTATTTTTGAACTTCCGCTCGCTAAAAAAAGTTAATTTTTTTTTTTACTTGACTACGACACGCGTAATGCACAATTATTATTAAAACATTTATGAAAGCCTAAAGTATTTCTCGACCGTTCTTTTATAGCTACCAACAATAGAAAAGGGTGAAAACCGGTTAAGAGATTTTTTTTCTTCATCTATTGTATCTTTCGAGACGAATCGACTATTCAACGTTTATTAACAAAAGCAGTTAGCAACGTTTAAAGTGAAACCGCGAGTAAATATTATCATAATTTTTTTTAAAACAAGTGTAAATTAAATAACTAGAGAATGAAGTTAACATTTTTTTTTTTTTTTAGAAAATATATTTCTAATTTTGTATTTTTTTTTTAATACCAATACAAACGGTATACACGAAAAAAAACATGCTACAAAAATATACTCAATATCATCGTTAACTCGGCTAATAATATTCCTGTAAAAAAAAATGTATCATAC